TCTTAACCATGTATTTACTGGAAACATGCTGTACTTATACAGACTTCCTGGATACTCCCAAATCTACAAAGCATAATTAGGGAGGGCACAACTATGTATCATGGTATTTTGGGAAGCAGCTTCCTGGACTTTGAGGAGTTAGACTGTTTGTAAAGGGTGTGTGCCATACAGAGTGTTTTGGTTTTTTTTTAAAGCACTATTAGTTTAAGGTTGCTCCTCATAGGTCAATACTGGTGAGTATACACCCTGACTAAAGCACTGTGGCTTTATTAAAGGTAGCACCCTTGTGTTACACTTAAAATGTAACCACAGCATATTCTAGTCACATCTCTTTTGGACTAATACGGTTTTGCACACATTGACATTTGATCTGGAAGGCACAAATTAAAATTTAGAAGTTAGCTTATTCAACTGTCTCATTTTCTCTTGCATTCACAACTCCCAATTCTTTTCTATATTGCCCTATAACTGAATTCTGTTAGAGTAAAAGCATCAGAATCAATCCAAATCAATTGGTAGTACTTTAAAAGTCATCCCCATAAACATTCTATAGTTTAAAAACTATTTGCTACACACACAAAAATTAGACTAGTGTTTAGGGCCCTCAAAATACACCATTAGGGCCAATGCTATAAAAAGTAACACAGCTTGTCACTGATTTTCTAGTAACTCTCCTATATCCTCTTGTATGGTTATTAAATCATCTATTTAACCCTCTTTATGGTAAGATAGAAACAATTAGTCTTCATGACTACTAAATCAGTAAATTCCATCAACCTTCACTTTCCTCACAAAACAAGACTGGAAACTTGCAGTGCCAAACAAAAGTGCATACAAGCAAATAAAAACACAACTGGGTATTCCAGCTTTGCGCAGTTTTATTGTTTTACTGTAAGGAAACTTACCTTCAAAATTCATTTTACTACAAAAAGGAACAAACTTTCTGGGGTCTGAAGGGATTGGTACTTGAAGATACTCCAGTCAACAGGGGGTCATGTTGAGCATTCTGCAGACAGAATTGTTTCAAATCTGCCGCTGCCTGGGAAACCTATACAAAACAAAGTGGAAGGGAATGGGAGGTGATTAAGAATGTTTTCAGAAAAAGTTTTCTCAAATCTTTCAAAATACCTGCAATAAACATTTCTCTTAACTCAAAAGATACATACTAATTGGAGATTATCAGTCACATACTGAGCTCTTAAAGCAGGGCATGTGATTAAGACTAGTTTGTTTCATTTTGCTTATTAGAAGCATTATCAAGTGATTTAGTACAAAGGGTACAATTCCATTTATCTGTAAAGTACAGCGCATCTTGCTAGTTTATTAATAAGCAGGTTGCTCAAGTGCAACCTTGAGGGGAAGCAGCATCTTGCTTTTTATTAAAAAGCAGTACCCAAAGCAGTACACGTGATAAGAGTTTAAGCAAAAAGCATTAAAATTCTAGCAAAC